CCCCCGGCCCGCCGAGCGGGATTGCGGGATTGCGGACAGCGCGATTCCCATCCCGCCAAGTCCTCGCCCACCATCGATCACATTTTCTGGGGTGGTGCCGTGCGGACTCGGCAACGTCAGAAAATTAAAAAACGGCCTGACACCACCACACCACCACCAAGAGCCCCATGTTCCCGTACCTTTCCCCTGAACCAAACCTGCTTGTGTTTTTTTGACGTTTTTGACAAGCACACAAGCTGGGAACGTCGTTCGATTCAGGGCCCTGGTTTTGTCGACTTGGCAAGGCGGGTATTTTGTCGTTTGTAGGTGTGGTGGTGGTAGTGTACCGTGTTGCAGGTGAGTTTAGCCCTGTAAACCGTTGATTCCCGTTTTCCGGCCGCGGCCCCTGGTGGCTTGCATTGGAACGGGCTGCGAGTGTGGTATGTGGTTTATATGGAACTTGGGTTTTTTTTTTTTTTGCCACTCGATTTATGAGCGGGATCTGACTGGGGACTAAGTTGTATATCGAGCTCGGGGGCACGATTTATGGGTGAGTTGTGTTGGTTGTGCTATGTCTACGGTGTTCTACTTGAGATGTTGCTGGTTGTGTTGAACGGAGGGTATCCACCAGACCATGAAGGTGAGCACACGCAATCGTGAGAATACCATGGACAACAACATTTATCTTAACCAATATACATAACAACGCTTTTAATACCATTTGGAAGTTAGCGATGCGCTCAAAACAACACTGAAGTTTTGTTATCTTTGCACTCAATGTGTAGAAATGGGCGCAGGTCATTAATGTCGACAATTTTGGCTGTCTTCACATGTCACATTCATCAAGTCACAATCAAAGGCCAAATTGTGGTAATGCTAATAGTCATTAGGTCATTTAGGCTAGAGTACAAGTCTTGCTGGTATCAAATCCATCATCCATGCGCATTAAGAAGAACTCCGAATTCACAGGCCACGGTGCAGGTCCTGAGCGGACACCTTGCTGTTGCGTCTTGCGCGGTTGTGGCCGTGATCGTCGTGTGCAATCTCAGGCTCGCCAATGTGCTTCGCCAAAACAGAGGGAGGGACCTGAGCGGCATCCGTAGGGTCCTTTGCAGCACCAGTAGTGTTTCTGGTGTCGCGAGTTAGTCTTCTGTTTCGGTGGTCGCACATGCTGGCGCTTGATCGCTTTCGGACGGGTATCGCTTACGACTGGGCGTAGGTCTTGTTGCCGCCAACGGTCTTGCTGCCGTCGAGGTCAGAGTCGACGCGAGGGTCGGCCTTGTTCAGGGCATCAGACTTGTGGGGGCCGGCGGTGCTGGGTGCGGGGCCGGTGCCGTGAACTCCACCAACGGCAGCGCCGGTGTGGCCGACAGCGGAGTGGGTGGTGGAGGTGCCGTGAGTGTTGTGGCTGCCGGTGAGACCGGAAGAGCCGTGAGTGCCAGTGGTGCCAGTAGTGCCGTGGGTGCCGGTCAAACCGGAGCCGGGAGCACCACGGTGGTCGCGGTCAGAGTCAACGCGGGGGTCGACCTGGTTGCTAACACGGCTGCCGTGAGGGCCGTGGGTGCCGGAAGGATCGTCGTAACCGGTGGTGGCGTTGTGGGTGCCAGTCAGGCCAGAGGTGCCGGTGGTACCGTGGGTACCGGTCAGACCGGAAGAACCGTGAGTACCAGTGGTGCCGTGAGTGCCGGTCAGACCGGAAGAACCGTGAGTACCAGTGGTGCCGTGAGTACCAGTGGTGCCATGAGTGCCGGTCAGACCGGAAGTGCCGTGGGTGCCAGTGGTGCCGTGGGTGCCAGTCAGGCCGGAGCCAGGGGCGCCGCGGTGGTCGCGGTCAGAGTCAACGCGGGGGTCGACCTGGTTACCGACGCGGCTGCCGTGGGGGCCGTGAGTACCGGAAGGGTCGTCGTAACCGGTAGTGGTGTTGTGAGTGCCGGTCAGGCCGGAGGTGCCGGTGTGAGTGCCGGTGGTGTTGTGGGAACCAGTCAAGCCGGAGGTGCCAGTGTGAGTGCCGGTGTGAGTGCCGGTAGTGCCGTGGGTGCCGGTCAGGCCACCGGTGCCGGTGGTGCCGGTGTGAGTGCCAGTCGTGCCGTGGGTGCCAGTCAGACCACCGGTGGTACCGGCAGTGTGAGCGTTGGCGGCACCGCCAGTGTAGCCGGCAGGGTTGGCGCGGTGGTCACGGTCGGAGTCGACTTTGGGGTCGGCGGCGTTGGCAGCCTTGGAGCTGTGGGGTCCGGAGGTGCCCTCAGGCTGCTCGTGGGACTTATCGGAGTGGAGAGCCTCCTTGACCTTGTTGACGATGGAAGACATGGTGGATGGTTTCGCGATTTGGGTATCAAGAAAAGACTTCTAAGTTGGTTGAATAGGAAAAAGGTTCTTGTGGTTGTTTGTTGTGAAGGTGGTTGTGTTTTGGGTATCTTGGTTTGTGATGATGAGAGAAGAGAAAACCGGATGAGGGTGGGAGGTTGAGGAGGTTATATAGAACTGGAGGCCATGTCGAGAGAAGGCGCCATCTGCCTCCTGCCTCCTGCCTCTCCCGTGGGAGATCAGGACAGGAAGGGTCGATCGCGATCCAGGCTTGCCGTATGAGGTGGCTGCGGCAGTCAACGGAGGGCAGGAAGGAGTGCTGCCCACCTTGCCTCACGCTGTGACTTGCAACAACCAAGGAAGCTGCATCACCGTGCCTGCGTGCTTGCTGTACCAAACGCCAACGCCATTGCCAGCACCAGCGCCAACCAATACCGACAGGCGCCCGAATGCTTGTTGGAGACGAAGACACGCTTGTGCTCTTACTTCATACATCGTCATAGGTCTTGGGCGCAGCTGTCTCATCGGGATACAAGCTTCATCTGTCAACCACTCGGGACAGGGAGCTGATACGCCGGTGCGTCTCCTCCGGCAGAGACCGGGGCCCCTGGCCAATTGGGGGGCGGCAATGGCCTAGGCCCAGGCTGCCACGGCTGGATGACGACCGGGGGGAAAGCACCTTGGGGAGCTGGCTTGCTTGCGTGACACTGGCGCTTGTTTCCGTCAAGCCTCGTCGATGTGATGGGGCCATTGCCTTGTCGGGGCTTGCAAGGGCTTGGGGGCGAACAGGCGTGGCATTCAGAGTTCTCGATCTGGCTCGGAGACCCTACAAACACGTAAGAAACCAAGGGATTTTCGTCATAAGTGGGAGCAACGGCGGGGTCACGGTGGTTGAAGAGGAGCGAAGATCTGTGGCTAGTGACGTTTAGGGCTGTGGAAGGAGTGAAAAGTGAATACGGATGGCAAAGTTCATGCTCCATACACATGCAGCGTTGCTAGACCTGGACACCTTGCCTCCGATCAGGTACGCTACCCACACGTGGAGGGAGGGAGCTTTGAGCTAGGTACTCCAGCTTCGGTACGTTTCCTCGTTCAAATGCCTGATTTGGTTGACAGACTACCCGCTGGTGGCATGTTCGAACGACACAAGGTCTCAAAAACCAAGCTCCAGAGCTGCCCTCCAGAAACCCGAACAAGCAGCGTACCGTCGCCGCGCGTCGTGTCTCACCGGTCTAGCACGGGCTAAAAGGGTACGAGCTGCAAGACATCGGGGTCGCTGGGTAAATGCGGATCAAACGCAACTTACGGGGCGCGGTTGTACGAGCAGGCACAGAAAAGACGTGCTCTGGTGCTGGGCTGAGGGTTGACGTTCCCGAGAAGGTGAGAACCAAGGCAGCGGAGAGACACTGGACAGAGCTCCCAAGGTCATCCCCGCCAATGACGCAGCGCGGACGCACGGCTGATCCGCCCCTCCTGTGGCGTAAGCTCCCCCCTTGTCACGCTAGTCTGCCAGACGGGGGGCTTGAGTGGCTGGTGACGGCTTAGCGCCAATGACGGGAGATTGTGATGTGGCTAGTGCGTGTCTCTTGGCCCCCAATCCTTCAACCTCTCGGGGCTCGACTGTGGCGTCACCTACCCCACACGATGCGGTCATCGACTTCTCAGCTGTGCATATCGTGGCGCCAGCTCCCCTCAGCAACGCGGTATTGCGGGGCATTACGCCATGCGGCTCTCATCAGACAACACAGTCCGTCCCATCCTGTTTCCGCCGCCAAGGTATCCTCCCACCCATCTCGTCAGCCAAGATACCTCCCTCTCTGTCACTCTGTTCATCTTTGTTTGTGGCTCCGGACTGAACTCCAGCTTGACTGGACATCCCGGAAGGCGAACCCTTACGTTCATCCCTCCTCTGACTCCCGGAAAGAGCCACATGCGATCGCCCAGAATTGGGTCATTGTGAACGGAATTTTGCGCAATTCCCATCCCTCACTCGCTGTCACTTTACACAGCCCGCCGTGCCTTACATCAACTCGTGTCTCAGTACCCCTCTCGTTTCCCTCCTGCGAATTCCTACCCCGCCTTCTTTCTCCCTCCCAGAAAAGGCGTTGCTGCGTGACCTGTTTCTAGAGCCGGGCCCCCTTTGCCGCCAAGCTAAAATAATGCAAGCCAGCCGCCGTTTTCCGCATGTCGTCGCACGTTTTCACAAGAAGCGGTCTCACCACAAAACCTGGCTTTTCTCGCTCCTAGCATCTAGTCCGAGCTCAAGGAAGAGCTAGGGAAGGACGGTAAGCTCGAAGCGGTCTGGTACCTCGGGGCCCTCTAGCAGCCGCAGGACCGGCGCTTCTACAGACCCATGGACCGCGGATCGTAGAATTCTGTACAGATCTCAGCTCTACAGAGAGGCCCTGTACACACAAGGGGAGGCTTCTCGGTTTCCGAGGCCTGCTTGTGGTTTGTCGCGGGATGGGATACGTAATTTCGATTGCAAATGGCACAACGCTGAGAACGGCTAAGGCGAGTGAGCGCCCCCCCGCTTGACCGCTTAACCTCCTCGAAGCGGGCTAGTCGTCTCGGAGGGGGGCACAGGCAAGAATATGGGGAAACCTGTTTGACAGCAAGACCAGCGTCCGAGGCATTTCTGGGGGCCTACGTTCTGGAGCGGTCGAAATCTTGCAGCCATAGGCCAAAAGCCAGTCACGAGAGCGATGCTGATCGGAGACCTGAGCTTGGGAGTTTTATTTGTTTCGGTCGCGGAGACGGGGGCTGTTTTCGGAACGGCATGGCGGCTGCCGATACGAGGCGGTCAGCGAGAAAAATCATGCAACCGAGGCATTTCGTTCCTCCCTCTCCGCTTGAGGCGATTGCTCGTGCAGGTACAGGCCTTGGCTAGCAGTGTGTTTGTGTAGGTGGTCGAGCTGGCTAATTTGCGCGGTTGTACGGGAGATCGATCCTCTTCATCTCGCTTGCTGCCGCTCCGAGAGATGTCGGGATTTCTGTTTTTGCCTTTCGCATCTTCCCCCCCCCCGTCAAAGCTTCGTTTCGAATGTGGACACATACGTCATTTTTGTTCTGGTGAAGACTGGCGATTGCTAAGATACGGTTTCGCGAATTCAATGCTTCACTGTCGAGGCGCCATTAGTACTTTGCAAGTTGGGTGCCGAATTACCCATTGGCGTTAAGACGGTCTCGATCCGAATTGCTCAGGATCTAGACAACGCAAGATCGACACTTCCGAATGACCTAATGTTTTGCGTCAGTTTCTTCATGATGGTTCTAAAATGTAGCACCATTGTATGCCGGTGAATGAGGTGATGCCAGATAATGCAGTGGTTCAGTCGCCCCAAAAAGGCGCCAAGACATACACATTGGTTTGAATTGGAGGATGACTGAGACCGGCCGAAGGAGTTTCTAGCCCTGATAAGAGAAGACTACTACCTGTGGCTCTTCTTTTGATCTCATCACCCACGGGAGATGATGGGAGACGATGGGCAGCTAGTTGACCCAACCTCTAAGATGGATAGATTTTGCAGTAGCGGCGATCCGATTAAGGCGCGGCCGACTCTGCCAAGTCACCGTGTGCCTCTTAATGCTCAAAACAACATATCTCAGTCTGCTAAAGTGAACACATGTAGATAATGATCGTGGATGTCTCGATGAAGCGGCCCCAGAGAGCGCCGTTATGGCGGGGCCGCTGAAGCCAAGCCCCCGGAAGTGGAACCGTTTCCCCGGATCGCCAAGACGTCAGCCGCCGCAACGCCCTACCCGTTCCCGCGGGTGGGTCGCCCGTTTACCGGCATCGGCTGTCCCGCACTAAGCCGATGCGTCTGGCGGTGACATTCCCCGGCTTATCTTATCATACCCAAAGGCGCAAATCTGTATTAGAACTTGGAACAGTAGCTGTGGGTGGGTAACTTGGACGGTGAGGAAACGGGCACAAATGAGACATTGACTCATGGATGTGAATAGACACTGCACGTAGATACGGGTGTAAGCTGATTCGACACGATTGAATGTCGCTTAGTGAAAATTGATTCAAGTGCATTGTGGTATTGTAGCGTGGTATTACAGTAAAGTAGGTAGAATTGTACAAGGTCGTTGGGTATTATGGGGGGTATCAAGTGTTCCAAACCGAAACCTTCAATCTTCCTTCTCATCGCTTCATTAACGTGAAAAATGCCAGCCAAAAGTATCTCTCCCGCTTTGCAGTTCTTCAAGAACCGTGCGTATTATACGAGAACGATAAGACAATGTCCGATGACTTGAGGGCTTGCGACCTCGCGGCATACACATACAAGTTTGCCTAGCTGCTGCTTAAACGCGGGAGTTGTACCAGCGGCGGCGGTGGACGGCAGGGCGGTTGTCGGCAACAGCGGTGCGACGGCGGACCCAGAAGAGGCCGATGAGGGCGGACGCGAGCCAGACGATGGCGGAGAGGAAGGTGAAGGCGATGTTGGCCTTGTGGCGTCCGCAGTCGTCGCCGCGGGGGCTGACATTGCTCCAGTCGAAGACGGGGCCGCAGCCATCACCAATAAGCTGAAAGGCTTCTGTCAGTATTTTTCTTGTGGTAGGTGGTGTGTGGGGGGATGACTTACGTTGACGAGCAGACCAAAGGAGACGAACCAGAGGATGCTGATGAAAATGTCCATGGGCCAGTGGACGAAGCTGCCCGAGAAGGGCAGCAGCCAGACGAGCGCTAACACCATCGCGATGCTGGACACCACGATGGTGTAGATGAAGCGGCCGTTGTCCCACGAGGAGGCGTTGTCGTGGGCGTGGAGGTACGCGCCGGTGATGCCGGTCACGATGGCGGCGAAGGCCAGCTCCGCGGCGCGGAAGATCATTTGCACAATGCGGTCGATCGCCATTTTGGTGGTTTGGTATTGTTACTTTGGGGAAAGGGTAAAGTTGGTTGGTCGGGATGCTGTGTCCGTCGCACAGGGAAGTGTTTGTTGATCTGCTGGTGGTTTGTCTGGTCTGAGGAACAGGAAGGGATGGAGGGAACTGAGATGGATAGTCTATTTATGAACGTCCGGGATGAGCCAAGACAAGACAAGACTCACAAGGTGTGAGAAAATGTCTGGATCGGACCAACAGGAGTCACATCAGGATGACGCCCACGGCCAGAAGCAGGTTTGGAGGAGGAAAATGGGCGGCCACCTCCCTTGACAAACTTACACCGTCATCTCGTCGCCGCGCCGAGATGAGCCAACAGGGCCTTTTCTTCACGGCTCGGCTTTTAGCTTGTATGTGTGCCACTACATGGATAGAACGCGGCACCAGAGCAAACGTGTGAGTAAGAGTAGTGTAACAACAAAGTCCCGAGACCTTCTTTCCTCCTGCAGGACGGGGGTTGAGAAATGCTAGACCCTGCCAAGATCGCTCGCGTATTGCCGGCATCTTAGACGAAGGGAGGGAGGGAACAAGGGGATGTTGGCTAACGTCACTGAGACTGGCATCGCGCAGCGGCTTCGTGGCACGCTCTCGAGAGTCCGTGAGCAGGCCCAGAACCAGCGAAAAATGGACGGCGGCGCTTGGTACCCTGCATATGTGCCATTCAAATGAGGTCATCTGGCTTGGGGAGGAAATGGGCAGACGGGAAGGACGGGTGGGCTAGGGCTGGGAGTGGGCTCTGATAGGGCGGCGCGTGGAGGCAGCCCGGGTCGTGAGGTTTGAAACAAGCCTTTGCGGGGGCCGCGATGGGATGTTGCGACCCTGCAGGCTGGCGACCTATCCTTTTTCTGGCTCTGTTTGTAGACTGCTAGCCTGCTTGGATCAAAGTCATTATGAAATTTGGTATTCTCATGTTGTCAGCCAATGCGCGCGGTCGCCTGGGCGGCAGAAGTAGGTTCAGCGCCAAAGAGCCGAGACACTGAAGCCAAGAAGAAAGAGAGCATCTAGGCCATCATGACTTTCGAGTTTGGGCAAGCCGGGCTTGCTGTGGGATGACCTCATCACGATATTTGTCGCCTGAGACGTACAGCGTCGTAATCTTGCCTCTACAAGCCTGAAAAACAGACCCTGAACTGAGTAATACAAACACGGAAGCCCGGCAGGAACATTTCACGTCGCGACTCACCACCAAGAACGAGGCCCCGACGTTGCGAAACCTGTGGCGATCGCTGTGGCTTTCGACGAGCCCAGAATGCTCCCGATCGGCGAAACGGGCAGCGATGGGCGCATCACAGGACCTGGATGGGGTGATCTGTGTGGCTAGTGCCCTGCCTGGTGACTCAGGAAAAATTCCTTTTCGGGCATGTCGTCGCCCAAGACGCGCAGAAATCAGGACTGCGCGCGTCGCAGGCGGGAAGAAAAGGTGAAGGTGACGTCATTTCTTCATTTCCCTTGGGTGTGTGGTGTTGTTGCGGCAGGGCCATCGGTCCAACCAGCTTCAGCCACACGATTCTCAAGCCCCCCCGGGGCTTGTTGTGGCAGCAAATGAGACCAATTTCTCATGCACGTTTGATGACCGAAGAATGAAGCGGCTGGACCTCCCGAGCTCATCAAACGGCGTCCGCTTTGGTTGCATCGTGTCGTCGTAGCGCCTTTTCTACAACGCTGCAGCGCAGTGCATCGCGAGACTAGAGAGCCCCCTTCATGTCGGTACTTGAGCGCTGGCGCGCCGCCGGGCTGATGCCCTCGAATCGTTACGTAGGGCCAAGCGCCGTGTCCGCTTCATTTCGTTTTCGCGCCGGACTGGTCTCCTAGGCTCTGGGCGGTCGATTTCGAGATGGGTTTTCGATCCGGTCGGTGAGTGGGCCACGCCCACGCGTTCGATTTGGAGGATGATGTTGTCCAAGACTTTAAATGGAAGCTGCCGTGCCGTCTTTCCCTTCGTTGGTCTGGTCCGCAGAGGGAAATACTGTTCATCCGACAGTGAACAACTTGGCGTCGATTCAAGGTTGGGGGAAGGATGCGACGAGATGTGCTGCGCGGAACATGTCCGCGTTTGTGGAGGCATCGCGGAATATTTGACCTCGGTCCGGAAGGTTGTCGGCACTTTGTGGGTCTGTCTACCGGCTTTTACCCCAGACTTCTCGGTGGAGCCCCACAAATTGCCGACCCCGCGTGTCTCACATTGTCCCGGGAGTCTGGATCCATCCTTCCAGCATGAATCTGACAGATATAAGATAGTTTTCGAGGGCTTTAGAGCTTGAATTTCGGTTTGAGATATTGGATTGAAGTGTCACGTGCAGTGTTACGAGTAATCCGAGACCTTCGACATGAAGCCTTCCAGCTCTAATACGGGCTTCTTCCAAGAACTCCCGGTCCTACCGAACCAATTTTTTGACGATGCCAGCTTTCAGAGAGCATTGAGACGTAAGAAATGGTGTCCTGATGATGTGTTCTACTGCTGATTGTGAATAGTATTCGTCCCAAAAGATGTCGTCAGCCGTGTTGAGGTCGAAATCGCCCAACTCGGCGAGGACGTCCTGTCCGACCAGGTTTTCGAATGGGTGACAGAATCTGAACACAACAAGCCGTATCTGAAGGGCAACGGCCGTGATTCTTTCGGGCGGCCAAAAACCGACCTCGTCGTCGGCGAAGGATGGCGCGGTTTGCAGAACTTCGGCATCGCAAAGGGCATCGTCGCCACCGGATACGACACTTCTCTCGGGTCGTCTGCCCGCGTGATCCAGTTTCTGAGAATACACCTCTGGAGCCCCTCAGCGTCGAACGTGACCTGCCCGTCGGCCATGCAAGATGGCGCGGCGAGACTTCTGCAGCTGCACCTGGCTAACGGCGACCTGGATCCGACTCAGCGCAAAGTTCTCGACAACGCCCTGCAGCACCTCCTGTCCAGAGACCCTGCAAAGGCGTGGACTAGTGGACAGTGGATGACTGAACGAATTGGCGGGAGCGATGTGTCGCTTACGGAGACGGTCGCGACGTACGACCCGTCAGCGCAAGCAGGCCTGGCGAACGCCGAGGAGAACGTTCCCCTCGGCCCGTGGTCCATTTCCGGCTTCAAGTGATTCTCGAGTGCTACGGACTCGGCGATGAGCGTCCTTCTGGCAAGAACCCAGAACGGAATTAGCGCGTTTTACGCGCCAATGAGGCGGCATGATCCGTCAGCGAAGACCATGATTGGAAAGTCCAAAGGAACTGGTGGAATGGAGTTGAACGGGGTTCGGATCCAACGACTGAAGAACAAATTTGGTACACAGTCTCTGCCCACCGCTGAGCTAGAGCTGGAGGGCATGAGGGGCTGGTTGCTTGGTAAGGAGGGCCGCGGTATCAACGAGATCAGCACGATTCTCACGCTCACACGGATACACTCCGCCGTGGGTGCTGTGAGTTACGTCGGTCGCGGGTTAGCCATCGCGAGAGCGTATGCCAAGGTCAGGCAAGTCGGCGCCGGACGAGGCAAGAGGATGCTGCTCGCCGAAAGCCCCTTGCACATGCAGACACTGGCAGACATGACCGCAGAGTACCACGGCCTCATGTTGCTCACGTTCTTCACATCCTATCTCCTGGGCTTAGACGAGCACCCTCAGACGAACAAGTCAGGGCTGCCCTCGGCGCTTGCCTCTATAACCCCAGACCAAAAGCACATCGCACCCCTGCTGCGAGTTCTTACGCCGCTCTGCAAGGCGTACGTGTGCAAGAAGTCAATCCCGCTGCTGTACAGCTGTATGGAAGCTCTGGGTGGTGTCGGCTACCTAGTGAATGAGGAAACAGAGTACCTCAACATCTCACGCATCTACCGCGACTGCTGCGTCCTCTCAATTTGGGAAGGAACGACCGATGTACTCGCAACAGATTTCTTGCGGGCGCTGAAACATCCAAAAGGTGGCCAGGAATCCATCGATGCCCTGGACACCCTCCTCGGCAACACGAACAACTGGCCCCAGGTTGCCGAGGCGAGTTCCTCCGCATGGACGCCGTCCGACTCATGGCAATCGGTCAAGACGGGAGTAACAAGGGGTTCGCAAGAGGACCTCGTCGGAGATGCTCGTTCTATTCTGTGGACTGTGGCTGAGGCTCTTACGGGGGTGCTGCTGTACGCGGACGCGAGCAGGGATGGCAGCGAGCCGGCATTCGATATACTCTCTCGCTACAGGATCCGCACCAGAGGCGAGACCTCTGTCGGCAGAGCGGCTAAGGCTTCGGACGAGCCGCAGGGCAGCAAGGAGAGACTCGCGAGGAACCATGCCATCGTGTACGGACGGGCTGGAGGGCCAGAAGTGTCGCCGGCGCTGTCAAAATTGTGATTGATGATGGTGACAGGTTCCCAAGCGCGTGTGTAATTTCAGGATGTGTGCGTGCTGCGAGGCAGGAACGATGTTTTCTCATGGAAATTCCAGTTTTTCTGATCTTCCACGTGGCATCCCGATGCTCCCGTGAAGTCTGACAACGTGTGTACGCAAAGCACAGCTCCCCACGATCGACACGGGATCAATTAACAAAGGGCGCCTTCTCAAGATCGGTGGTTTCGCAATTCCAGACGACGGGCCCAAAGCACAGAAAGCCCTGCCGATTAGGACAGCGCAGCTATGTACGTGCGCGGGTGCAGTGGCTAGTCTGGAATTTCTGTCGCGATGATCCCCTACCACCTATACCTCTGATCGATTTCGAGCCCTCGATTCGCGAGTGACAAGGAGGTCCGAGGGCGGCCCTAGCTCCAATGGCAGAAGGAAAATCTGTTTGATCAGTAGCAATTGGGTTACTTTGGGACTAAATAAAGTTTCAGTCCGGGCGGTGTGTTAGACGTGTCGCTTGCTCCTTTGACCGGGATGATGCTCGCCGAGGTGCGTCTCTTTGTTCGTTGCTGGGTGTATCCCCCCCGCGCCGCCCGTTGTCGTGTCCCCTCTCGACTGCAAAAGAGCAGCAGAATGATTCAAGGAAGCTCCCACCGGGTGTTTCTTGTCCCGTCGCCGTCCAGTATCTCTTGTGAAAATACAAGCTTCTCCCGTCGGCACGAATTTACTCGTCCCATGGGAATGGGTCGTCAATCTGTCCCCACCCCCCACTGAATGACATCTCGCCGACTTCAGCTTACTTCGCTGGTGATATCTGTGCCATCGACGATGCGGATGCCCGACCTTGTCGAGAAGGAAATATGCGGGGGCCAAGTTCGAATGTGCACTTGGAACAGGACGACACTTATCTGCCTGAGGTCTGGGTGAGTCGCGCGTCTCTGCCTCGCCGCTCTTGACTGATGGGATGGATGTTGACAATTGATTCCAGACGTGGTATGCCATCGGAGTGTTCGTGATACTGTTGCGATACGCGGTACGATTTCGAACTGTCGGGTTTCGCGGGTTTCGGGGCGATGACTGGCTTGCTCTGCCTGTGTGTTATCCAATGGGTCTCGCAATGAAAAGAAATTTATGTCTAACAGTCCCTAGTACCTCGCCTTATACTCGTTGAACGTATACATCGTCCAGGTTACGTATCACACGGGCGGGAATATCGACGTTACCGCGGACGCAGTCAAGTCTCTTTCGGAAGACGACGTTCGCATTCTTGAGCTTGGGTCGAAGCTGGAGTTCATCTCTTGGTATTCATACCCAGGATGTATATGTAAGTTTGGCGCATAGTAAAGGCGCGTGGCGCGTTCTAATAACATCGAATAGGGGTGTTGAAGTTTACCGTACTGTTCTTCTATAAGCGCCTGACTCTGGGAATACTTCGACGAAAGACCCTCATCACTTTGTTTTGGTTGTGTGGGCTGTCATATGTCGCTTTGTGCCTGACTGTAACGCTAAGCTGTCAACCGTACGTCCTGCAAACAACATCAAAAGGAAGTGATCTTGACACAAGGTGCTAGGTATTCCGACAACTGGCGAATCCGACCACTACCAGGCCCCGAGTGCACATTCCGACCGCAGAATTTCTGGATGCTCCTGTGGCTGAATATTTTAACCGATGCTGCCCTCCTCTCGATCCCAATACCGATTCTATGGCACCTACGAGTAACCCTGCGCCGCAAGATAGGAGTCGCCATCCTCCTATCTTCAGGCATCTTCGTCATATCGACAGCGATCATCCGAGCGGTGTCCACACTCACCGGAGCGCCATCCGTGATCAACATCAATCGATGGGGCTTCCGCGAACTCGGCGTCGGGCTCGTCACCGTGACGCTTCCCGTGCTGAGCCCCATCTTTACGCGGCCCTTCTGGCGGCGCGGGCCGTATATCCGCGATTACTATGACCGACTGCGAAACCCGAGATCGCCAGTCAACAATGCGAGGTTCGGCAACTGGCTGGGCACGATGGTCCTGCGGTACATTGACGAGGAGGAAGGGGCAGTCTTCCGGGAGCCTGATTCGGCCAAGGCGTTGGAAGATGCCGGGTACCAAGAATACGCGCAGAGGGCAGGATCGGCCAGGAAAAGCAGCAACGAGACATATGAATTGGAGACGACGAGCGGCGGGACGAGCGCGAAAAGCATCACGGGCATCGAACCGGCATGATATACTGATACACACGAAAATAAGGGGAAGGGTACTATGAGCATTTTGGCAGCGGAACAACAGGACAGCATACCCTCGCGTCTGATACACGGTAATGTAATTTATGATATCCTACGCATAAACGGCCTTGAGAAGAAGAATGGAAGAAATTGGAAAGAGTCGATGGTTTATCTCTCGTATTAAGCTCCTAATGACCAGCCTGCTTCGCCATATCAGCGGGCGAGGCGTGAACGGTGACAGTGATGGGCGTACCTCTTACTGCGCACATGTCTGAACAGTCAACGGACTTTCCACAAGACCGGCATTGGTCCGGCGCCCCGTGCAGTCGGCAAGCACGCAAACCGAAAGCACGCATGGGACGTTGTTGGGATGAGTCTATTCGCTTTCGAATTTCATCCAAACTAAAGCGAGATGGGTGCGTACATGACTCAACCAAGGAGGAGCAAGCTGAGCGATTGGCTCGTTGCTGATCAGAGCGCTATGTGCACTGCATGGATTCGTCGACAGCGTTTGTTCACCCTGTCGGCGCCCGAGCCTGCGGTACACCTCTTCTTGCTGCTGTACTGTGATGATGTTGAGTTTGAGGTTAGTCACTGTCCACGAGGAAAAAGAAAGCTTCAGAGGGGCACTCTGTCTCAACGAAGCTCGTGATTGGCCAATTCGATCTGGATTGGACCCCGCGACCCCACGACCCGCGATGACCCCGCCGACCCAAGCTCATGGCTAGCTTCGATGAGAAGTTCTTCAACTTCACTCTCACCCTCACCTGCTAGCCCACGAGTTGACTCCCGAGTGAGAACAACACAACTGTCACCGTCACCATGGAGGACATCGTGCGTGCGTTCAACGCCCTTCACCGGCCACGCACCACTCCCACCGGCCTTCCCAACCACTGGGTCTTTACCGTGAACCACGTGCCGCTTCAACCACCTGGCGATGTCGTCTTCGCCGTTCACCCAGAAAGCAGATTTGTTCTGCAATCTGGACCGGGCCAGATCCTGTCTCTGTCCACCGTCGCCGAGAAAGCTGAAGCCGTCATCCCGCTCCTTCTCAGCACGTTCATCAAGGGCAGCGAATCTCCCGGCGGTAGACAACCAGGCGACCCCATGCCCTTCGCCCCCTGGACCTGGTCAATCGATGAACCCCAACTGTCCGCTGCCATCGAGACCGGCCTCAAGAAGCACGGAGTCACGGAGGAGCTTTGCAAGCTTGGCGCCAGCACCGCCGAAGAACAGGAGATTTTGAAAGACTCGTGGCTTCGTGTCGTGGATAGAATGATGCAGTTCCTGGGAGGAAACATGCCTGCGCAGTCTGCGATCAGCCCGGGCGACCGCTCAAAGTGTCACGGCTGTGGAGCGGACAGCGCCAGCTTCTCGCACTCGCTGAAGAAGTGCTCGGCATGCGGCCAGGCTTGGTACCATTCGCAAGACTGCCAAAAGACGCACTGGAAACAACACAAGCCCACCTGTCTTGCCAACCGCCCGAGCAAGGCCCCGAGAAACGGCACGACCAGCTCGCCCATGGAGGCCATGGGCGGTTCATTCGCGAGCCCATCCATGAACATGAGTGATGATGATGCCGGCGAGGAGGCATACAAGTATTACAACAAGACTGCGCGCGCCAAGCCTGAAGCCCAGGCGCTGATGAGAGAGCTCGGCCTCGCTGTTCCAGGCTCCGGAGCCCCTCCTGAGGGCATCGCGTAAGCTCCATTAAAGGACACGGGAAGGCAATAGCTAACGCCCTGCAGCAAACCAGTGCGCCGCCTCATACTCGCAGGAAAGGACACGCCTGAGAACATGGAGCTGTTCTACGGACCACACTGGCGGGCGGGAATGGGCAAGGAGCACCAGGACAGCAGAATGGAGATCCTCCTGAACCCACCTCGTGGCTCTCCGAGCTATGCGATGAACAAGTGGCTGGATGAGGGAGCGCCTGCGAGATCTCCTCGTCCGGCGACGGAAGACGAGAAGACGAAGATCCAGCAAATCAAGGAGATCCAGGAGAAGGTTCGACAGAGGGTCGGCGCCGGGAAGCAGCCCAGCGGATCTGACATGCAGGCGATTCTTAAGTCGTTCGGAGCGGAATGGGGCACCATGATGCCCCTCTACACGCTCGCCGTCAACACGATGGACCAAGGCGTGCAGGCACCTAACTGAACGCCCTGGTCGATTAGGTAGGAGGTTTAGAGAAAAGTCTGGAGTTAATCGGGATGTAAGGTAGCTTCTTGGTTGAGATGGCGCAAAAAGAAACCCATCGTGGAGCTGAAAATGAAGAAGCAGAGACCGGGTGTCTCTTGTCGCTGTACCGTCTTTCTCGCCCGTGCCTCTTCCTCCTGCACCAAGGGCTCGTCACGTTCGAGTAAAACAAGGCAGACTTACAGCAGCATCGAAGACATAGGCAGTTAAATTGTTGAAAGGTGAAACATCTGAAATGCGACAACCAAGTTAGGGTGTTCACAAACGTTACCTTGGAAGCCTCCAGTTAGCAAGGTTCAGAATTGCCCCGCATTAGGCACCCGCCTCGGCAGCCCGCCAGGGTTCTTCAGCACAATTTAGTGCTCCCGCTGCGCTAAGGTCGCGTCGTCGCGTCTTCCCACCCCGCCATCATCCACTTCCCTGCGTCATCTACCCAGACCAAGCGGCGAACCATGCGACTTCCTCCACGATGGCCGCCCAGAAGGAAAACGCGATAGTCATATCCGACGAAGAAACCGCGACTGATATCAGCGAGCAGAAGCGAACGTCCGACAAGGCCCTCGGCAAGCGCAAAAGTGACCTCGTGGACTTCGAGGTGAA